AAAGACCTTCCTGGCCAGCTAATTTCTTCAAAAGATGCCATTATCCTATTGAAATTAGCCTTTAAGTGTTTTTGTACAGCAAATATATATTTTTTGTACTTTTTTTTTACAGTTAATCTTAAATAATACAATATTATAGTCACCATTTTCCAAGGGCTCCTTAACGTGAATGATTTGAAAATAGGTCAACATTAGTGATGTACCGAACGGTTCGCCGGCGAACATAGCATGTTCGCGTTCGCCACGGTGGGCGAACATATGCGTGGTTCGACCCGCCCCCTATTCGTCATCATTGAGTAAACTTTGACCCTGTACCTCACAGTCAGCAGACACATTCCAGCCAATTAGCAGCACACCCTCCCTAGCAGACCCTCCCACCTCCTGGAAGGCATTCATTTTAGATTCATTCTCAAGCTGCATGCTTAGTAAGAGGAGGGAAAGTGTAGCTGCTGTTCATAAGATAGGGAAAAGCATAGCTAGGTTAGGGTTAGGGTATGCTTTTTTTTGGATTTTTTTTTTCTATGTAATGTAATTGCACTTAGTTGTCTGCCACTGCTGCCAGCTTCTGTGTCAGGCTCACAGTGCATACTGTGCCCATTTTCCCAGTCAGTGCCACCACTTACATCTGGTGTCACAATAGCTTGGATTTAAAAACAAAAAACTTTTTTCACTGTTATAGATTGAATAGCAGTCAGTTGTCTGCCACTGCTGCCAGCTTCTGTGTCAGGCTCACAGTGCATACTGTGCCCATTTCCCCAGTCAGTGCCACCAATTACATCTGGTGTCACAATAGCTTGGATTTAAAAACAAAAAACTTTTTTCACTGTTATAGATTGAATAGCAGTCAGTGTCCTTAAAGCGGGTGTGTTACGCTAACAGTGGATACGCTGACAAGTGCCACTAATTAGATCTGGTGTCACAATAGCTTGGATTTAAAAACAAAAAACTTTTTTTACTGTTATAGATTGAATAGCGGTCAGTGTCCTTAAAGCGGGTGTGTTACGCTAACAGTGGATACGGTGACCAGTGCCACCACTTAGATCTGGTGACACAAGCTTGGATTTAAAAACAAAAAACTTTTTTCACTGTTATAGATTGAATAGCAGTCAGTGTCCTTAAAGCGGGTGTGTTACGCTAACAGTGGATACGGTGACCAGTGCCACCACTTAAATCTGGTGTCACAATAGCTTGGATTTAAAAAAACCCCACTTTTTTCACTGTTATAGATTGAATAGCAGTTAGTTATCTTCAAGCAGGTGTGTTACGCTAACAGTGGATACGGTGACCAGTGCCACCACTTATATCTGGTGTCACAAAATAGCTTGGATTTAAAAAAAACCCACTTTTTTCAAACTTTTGCATAGCGAAGTAGATTCACTGCCATTGAAAAGGAGTGCATGGCGGTGGTGTGGGCCCTCAAAAAGCTGCAACCTACTTGTATGGACAACCGTTTACCTTACTCAAAGATCACAACAAATTTGGGGCACTGCGCGTGCAATCTAATGTACCACCAGATAGGAGTGGTGTGTTTAGTACTATTTTTATCAGTTTAATACCTCTTCTTCCATCTCCCTGTTACAAAAATCACCAAGCCTCTTCTTCCATCTCCCTGTTACAAAAATCAATGCCGTGTACACGTCCACTGATAGGGACGCGGAAGGTATTAAACTGATAAAAATAGTACTAAACACACCACTCCTATCTGGTGGTACATT